TCTTGAAGAGCTGAACATTTTAATAGCTGAAAGTATGCAGGAGTAAAAATTTGAATGGGGCAAGATTTTCAAAATAAAGCTAAATATTTCAAAAGTATGAAGCTTACAAAAGTTCTGAATAGAAGCATGAATGTCCTTGAAAAGTTTAACATTTTGATACCTGAAATAGCTAAAAGTATGCTGAAGTAAAAATTTCCCCAATCATTTGAATGGGGCAAGATTTTCAAAATAAAGGTAAGTATTTCAAAAGTCTGAAGTTTACCAAAGTTCTGAATAGAAGCATGAATGTCCTTGAACAGCTGAACATTTTGATAGCTGAAATAACTGAAGTATGCTGAAGTTGAATTTCCCCATTCATTTGAATGGGGCAAAATTTTCAGAATAAAGCTGAATAGTTTAAAAACTATAAAAGTTATAAAAAAGTTGTATGCATGCCTACATTTTCTGAAAAAGCTGAACATTTTGATACCTAAATGGTTTTTCTAGCTGAAAGTATGCTGAAGTAGTTAAGGGCCAAAAAACATACGGAAGAATAATAATAATTTATAAATGAAGACCAGGAAAACATGGTATGGATGCTGACTCAGCATCCATACAATAATGCATCAGTCATGATAATCCAACAATATCAGACAACGTTAGACTCCACTTGACCTGACTGTGGGCTTCCACAGTTGGACAGATGTTGGACAGAGACTCTGTTATATCCTGAGCAGAGCTGGATGCTGCTTAGTGGACCCTGGCAGCAACATCAGCTGAACTAAGATGACAATCATCACACAGAAAGAAACTCATTTTACTGAACTGGTGAAATGTTGATGGTCAAAGTGATGAAATCAGACAAATGAGTGTTTGGTGTCTGAGTCGGAAACAGATCTGCTTCACAGTGCAGAGAGTGGGATGGTGACCTTTGACCGCAACAGCTGATCTTCAGTCAGAGTTTGTGTCCACAGGAGACACTCACACCTACACACCACACAAAGACAATGAGGAACCAGGAAACCAGATCCAGAACCCAAACCCAGGATAAAGAGGTTCAGTGAATGCGGTGTTGAAGGTGTAGAGGTGGATCAGTCTGTCAGAGGAGACTGTGTAGAAGGACAGAGTGCCAGCAGGATAGTCCACATACACTGCTACTCTGTGAGACACCGAGGGGGTGGGGGGGATGAGTGTTTGTATCTTATTGTGCCTGACAGAGTAACCACGATCAGAGCAGTCCAGATTCCAGGACTGATCATTCATTCCAAACCAACAGTCATCACTGTCTCCTTTCCTCCTGATTCCTCTGTAACTCACTGATATAGAAACGTCTCCTGTCCACTCGACCTCCCAGTAACAGCGACCAGTCAGACCAGTTCTACACAGCAGCTGAGGCCAGTGGTCAAATCTGTCTCGATGATCAGGATATGGCTGATCTTCCTCCACCTGTGTCACCTTCTTGTTGTTGTCAGACAGTTGTATTTTTCTGTACACTGTGTTTGTGTCCAGTTCCAGTTCACAGAAATCTGATGGAGAGAAAAGACACAGCTGCAGTTTATCATTTACTGGTGGAGGAAATCATTCACACTGACATTTCAGATTCACTGTGACTCATGTTTGGCTTCATTCAAACTGAAATGTAACAATCCAGTTACACCAACATGAGCAGTGACTTAACATGAGAGTCCAGGGGCCAGATGCATAAACGATGAGTGCACACAAAACCTTGTGTATAAACAGTGTGTGGGAAGAACGTGCGCCTCACGCCTACTTCAGACCATGCGTGCACATGGTTTGAGTACATGTGACATGGTGAAGAGAAAATGAACAATAAGGTGAGACAGCCTGTTGTAAACAACCTGCATTAGTTTTATCTCTTTACACATTCTTCAGTTCACAAAGTGGATTTTTAAACACTACGTTTATGTCGGGCTGATTGTTCTTATTTCTTTTAACTTCATGTTATGTTCTAGTTTTTCATGTTGGACTTTCTTGTAAATGATTCTGTAAAGTGCTGATGTTAGTCATTAACTGATTTCCATTAAACGATGAGACGTCACCAGACTAGCAACTAGCCTTTACAGGTGTGTGATTACATTACAGCAGTCTAGAAACAGCTCTAGGTGACGTAGTGGTCATGCATAAGGACGTCTGTTCTAGCCTTAGTGCAGGATCTTGACAACGCCCCTGTAAGACCAGAAACAGTGTTTAGACATTTTTCCCTGTGAAGCTGTGTGGCTGAAACTGCAATGTGTTCATCTGCTGTAGGTAATGCAGGAGGTGTCCTCCTCCTGTTGCCTTCATGCTCTTTGTGCACATAAGCACTTTTCTGCCTCTCTTACACTTTACAACACTCTTTTCTCTACCTCGGCCGTGGCACTCTGCTCTGAACTGATGTATTAATAATCTGCCAGTCGCCACGAACACATCACTCAACTTCTCCAGTCAGTCTCAATGTTACAGTCATTGAAGCTGCACTTCTTCTTTAGTGCTGCTTTCAGTGCTGTGTCTAATGAGATGGTGGTTCAGATGGCCAAGTGGTTACCGACTTTTTTCACAAGTCTCCCCCTGCCCTCTAGCTGTCTCCTGTCTGCCTCTCTGTGATTTGCTATGAAATAATGAAAACTAAAAGCCAGAAAAAAGTAAATTTTTCCAAAATAAAAATCAAAACAATAAAAAAGTGAAATAGCCCTGTGCACATGTGCCCAGTTTCTTGATGATTGAGATTTATAAAGCAGTGCCGGGTATAGGTGTGGTTTTATGAATCTGACAAAAACAACGTGCATGCTCACTTCTGTACACACAGCTTTAGCCGTGAATCTACACAGAGTTTTATGCATCTGGCCCCTGGTGTAATGGGATTTTCAAGACAAGAAATGTTGGTTCATGAAACTTTCATTTGAACTTGACCATCAGTGAACTGTAAAAATCACTGCAGACTGCCACTCTATCTGTCTTTCTTTTGTGAGACATTTAAGTGTGTGTTTGGCTGTGTTTACCGCAGCTGCTTTCTGCAACTCTGATTAGCTCCACCAACAAACTGCTGAAATACTGTATGAGCTTACAAGAAGCACCTGAAGGCAACACGGCTCCTCTATAATATCAGTGACAGAAGGAACAAAGTTGGCTTCTGCTGGCTCCACTGTTAATCACATGTATTGATTAGTGTTGCTGGGTCACTGTGTTCACTTTGTTGTGTCTGTGGATTTTAAACTGACTGAATTCTAACATGTTTCCAGCCACACGGACAAAAACCAGAAGCTAAATCCTGAATGAAACTCTGCAGAAACTCATCTTTGTCTTTCGGTCAAGGGTCCACATCTAGTGGAACATGTTCAGCTGGTTCTCAGGAATCAAACTTAAACACACTCACACTTCCTCAGACCAGGTCTCATCCATTGTGGTCCACTATATTCCACCCTGGAGGAAGAGACAGAGTCAGCATCAGACACCTTAACTGACACCCATCATTAAACATGGACCAGAGTTCCTCAGTCAGTCAGAGAGACAGAGACAGTGTGAGAACTACTGCTGTCTGTGGTCTGTCTGTACCCGAGAGAGTCCGGTCTGTGGTCAGTCTGTATCTGAGAGAGTCCAGTCTGTGGTCTGTCTCTCCTGAAACAGTCCAGTCTCCAGTGTGGTCCATCTGTACCCAAGGGAGTCCAATCTGTGGTCCGTCTGTACCTGAGGGAGTCCGGTCTGTGGTCTGTCTGTACCCGAGAGAGTCCGGTCTGTGGTCCATCTGTACCTGAGAGAGTCCAGGCTCCAGTGTGGACCCTCCGGTCCAGATGACAGCAGCTTCACTCCTGAGGCTCCTGGATGATTGTAGTTCAGGTCCAGCTCTTTCAGATGGGAGGGGTTGGACTTCAGAGCTGAAGCCAGAGAAGCACAGCCTTCCTCTGTGACCAGACAGCCTGACAGCCTGAACACACGCAGTCATGTTTCCATCACTTCACAGAACAATACACTGACTTACATTCATTTCCTGGAGACGTATCTTCCAGGACCTGAAACGAGATCTACACCCTGAAATGTCCTGACGTCTGTTCTGAGGATTCATGTACACACACACACACACACACACACACACACACACACACACACACAGGTTCTGACTTTCAGTCTAAACTCTACATCAGTGGGTCTTTACACGTTTAGCAGTGCAGCCACCTTCTGAGGACTAAAACATTGTGACATTCCCACTTGTAAAGACAGTTTAGTAGTGGATAATGCTGTATTCAGCAGTTTAAACAGCTCATTTAAATGGGGCGGCCTTTTACATTCAACTGTCTGAACATGATGAAGGTGAGATGCAGATGAAGAAGCGACAGTAATGTCCAAGTATTTCTGCTGCCAAAGCCCAGAGGAGAGCAGTAGTTCATGTCTGATGAGCTCTGTCTGATTCCCATCTTGGATTTCTAGTCATGGCAGATATTGAACTGGCTGGATGATGTTTCTGATCAGAAACGACAGAGGCTTTATCTTTGATTTCCAGCCATCAGCACAGTCTCCTCATGCCATTCTGAGCTGCAGTTATGGAATCAAAGTGTCAAAGCACTGACACTGTCAGGAATCCTGTCCTTGTTCTTAAGGCTACACTTTAACCATCTAAAACACTGCTGTTCTGTTCAAAGCCGTGAAATGTGCCTGAGTCCACATCTCGCCCTTCAGGGTCTTTATAGATAGTAGCCATCCCTCCAGCCTTCGCCCCCCTCTGGATGAACACCAGCTGAGGAAACCACTCAGCTGGCTGGACGGGCCTGAGTCAGTGTGGCAGGTGCATCTGTGCCGAGCCAGGTCTCAGTCAGAACAGGACCATCCAGGTTCCTGCTGCATAAAGGCCCCATGTTAAAGGGCCACATCAGTTTCTGATCATTGTCCAATTTGTGTCTCTGGGAACTATAATCAGTCTTTTCATGGTGGGAGTGTTTCTCACTCTGCTGACAGTGCTGTGTCCAGGGGAGATGATTAGGTTTACAGTGGAGACAGGGACGGTGAGGTCAGTAGTCAGGGTAGCAGTGTCATCAGGAGACACAGCATCTCTGTCCACAGATATGCTGATGGCACTCTGCTTTATGTGGCTGTGTCTCCTGACCACACCGGGACCAGTGGCTCACTTCTTCACTCCATTTTAGACAGAAATGCCTGGATGTCACTGAGCTGGTGGCAGCTCACCCAGGACCAAACAGAGGAACTGATCACTGTTTCAAAGCTCAGTGAGAAACTGGTCTCCATACTCACCACACTGGAAGACATCCCAGTGTACAAGCAGAAACCTTGACAATGAGGTTTGACTCTGACTGGAACTTCACATCACATGTGCAGGCTGTTACAGAAACAGCATTTGATCACTGGAAGAACACTGTGACAGTGAGGCCATATTTGTGTCTGAGCAGCACAGAGACTACTGCAGACTTTTATAAGTACCAGGAGGCCCATCTTAAAGTCTGACAATGATCGCATGGCAGCTTCCACAGACTGGACTGGAAGGTTTTCTTTTAGTTTGTGAGCCACTGCAAGGTCTTTGACCAGACTGCCTGTCAGAAATGCTGAGAAATGATGAACTGAGAGGGGCCCTGAAATCCTCTGCTTCTTCTCTTTTAACTGCCAACATCTGTTTCAGTCAACATACAGCTGTTCACATGAACTTAAGACCAGACACTGGGATGAACTCAATGAGGGAATAGAAGGAAAGAAACCACAACTTTCTGATCAATGAAAAAGTCAAACTGGAGCGACACAGTAAAAAGGACTGGATACCCTGTAAGACAATGCAAAGAAAAAACTACTGACCTGAGAGTTTCCAGTTTACAATGTTGACTCCCCAGTCCAACAGACAACAGCTTCACTCCTGAGTCCTGCAGGTGGTTGTCACTCAGGTCCAGGTGTCTCAGTCTAGAGGACTTGGAGCTGAGAACTGAGGACAGAGCTTCACAGCTTCTCTCTGACAGGTTACAGCCACTCAGCCTGGAGAGAAACCAGCAAAACCATAGAACCAGTTACAAACATCAGCTTTTTGTCTTGATTAAAGTCCAACTTAACCTGGACTGGTCTATGTGCACGTACAGAGCTTTGTTGGAGGCTCTGACCACAGGCAGCAGCCTCAGAAGAGCTTCCTCTG